AGCATGTTTCAGATTTGCTTTCTCTAACCTTTGTTTCTCCCTACTCATAAGGTGGATTGTGGTTCTGGTTATAAAATGCTTGATCATTAATGAATTAAATGTTTACTTGAAAAATGTAAAATGTGCATGTGCTGTCAATCACAAGGTAAAATAGAAAGTATGGAGATATGTTTGTTTTTTGTTTTTGAGGAAGGGGGGGGGGGGGGGGGGTCAGAATTTAATCTCCTGCTGTACATGCTTCCCTGTGGAGTTCGTCTTATTATTATGCACATGTTATCCTATTTAATTAGATTTGTAACAGTAGATATGTAAACTGCTAATAAAACAACAAAAAATCTGTGGCTTATTTTATTTTTAATGAAACTGTTTAGTATAACAGATTATTAAAAGTACAAGTGCACTCAATTGCAATTTCAAAATAACTTGACTCCCTCCCCCCCCCCCCCCCCCCCCCCCCCCCCCCCCCCCCCCCATCTAAAACAGTACTGTTGTTTGGTGGCTGCACTTAAAATGTTGGCTCCAAATTCCAGTGCCAGATTGTCATGTGCCACGCCACTTCGACTTTGCTGAAATTTAATGCCAGCAATCATATAGCAGCTACATGAGTTGTGGTCCTTATTCCCAGCCTAGACTGGACTAAAGTTTACATAACCACCAGGTGCCCTAATGTTACTGTTTTCTGTGGTTGAACCGAGTTTCCCTGGTTTGAAACTGTTTGATCCTCATCCTTGAGGTGTTAAGTTAATACTACAGATTGCAGTCCTGGAAGAGAAAAGTTGCTTACCTTACCCACTACAGATTGCAGTCCTGGAAGAGAAAAGTTGCTTACCTTACCCACTACAGATTGCAGTCCTGGAAGAGAAAAGTTGCCTACCTTACCCACTACAGATTGCAGTCCTGGAAGAGAAAAGTTGCTTACCTTATCCACTACAGATTGCAGTCCTGGAAGAGAAAAGTTGCCTACCTTACCCACTACAGATTGCAGTCCTGGAAGAAAAAAGTTGCTTACCTTACCCACTACAGATTGCAGTCCTGGAAGAGAAAAGTTGCTTACCTTTTCCACTATAGATTGCAGTCCTGGAAGAAAAAAGTTGCTTACCTTATCCACTACAGATTGCAGTCCTGGAAGAGAAAAGTTGCTTACCTTATCCACTACAGATTGCAGTCCTGGAAGAGAAAAGTTGCCTACCTTACCCACTACAGATTGCAGTCCTGGAAGAGAAAAGTTGCCTACCTTACCCACGACAGATTGCAGTCCTGGAAGAGAAAAGTTGCTTACCTTACCCACTACAGATTGCAGTCCTGGAAGAGAAAAGTTGCTTACCTTACCCACTACAGATTGCAGTCCTGGAAGAGAAAAGTTGCCTACCTTACCCACTACAGATTGCAGTTCTAGAAGAGAAAAGTTGCCTACCTTACCCACTACAGATTGCAGTCCTGGAAGAGAAAAGTTGCTTACCTTACCCACTACAGATTGCAGTCCTGGAAGAGAAAAGTTGCCTACCTTACCCACTACAGATTGCAGTCGTGGAAGAGAAAAGTGCCCAACTGGACTTTACTGTGGCCCACCACTGGTTAAACAAGACTGGTGTAGAGGAGTTTTACAAATAGAACTGATCTAGAGCAAGAAAGACCACTATCTGTGGAGAAACTTGAACATGTTTGTCATCAAGCAGGGCACATGATGGCAATGGTTGTGAACATCTTTCTGTGCAAGTGTGTTCAGGAAGATTACTTTTCTTGTGCACATGCATTTATTATTATTATTTTTATATTGACAGGTACAAGCATATTCAAGATGCAGGAAAAGCAATAAGTGAATCCCAGTTGGAAGAATCACTCAGCGCCTTAAGACAAGATAATACAGAGTCAGCGACTGAAGTCTTAGAGTGAGTATACACATTATGCTTTCACATTGAGCCTTTGATATTAACATTCATTAAAGCTGTCTTTGTTCACAGTCTTCTTCTTTGTCCATCCTCAAAAGGGTAGTTGGCATGTTGGGTTGTCATTTACTTCTCTGCTCTGTTTGTGTTTATTGACTACTCCCATATATATATTTCAAACGAGTTAAAATGTATGTAAATAATTATATTTTAACATTTCTTTTCAGTGACCAGTGTTTTTAAGGATTTGTTTCAGGACTTCCTGTTTTTATGGGTTTTTACTTTAAAGGGCTAAAGACACTTTTAGTCATTTTTAAGAAGAATAACTGGCTTTTGTCTCGTGTATTTAACTTCATTATCAATATTTATTGGATTACTAAGGATTACTATATTCACACACATTGTATATTTGGATATAGTTTATTTTATAATCATTCTATAAACTTGCCATTCATTCATTAAAGATAATTGCCTTTGAACTAGGTCTGATGTGAAGTACTTACAAGACTTGCTGGCGAAATGCAAGGCCCAGAAGAATGTCTTATTGGCTCGTCGAAATAAACTTAGGTATTTATCTGTTGTGTGAGGCTTTGGATAGATTTTAAATGACAACTTTGATCTATTTGTGTATCTTAACTTGTTTTAAATTGAGAGAACAAATTTCAAGAATTAAAAGAAACTGTGTAATCTTGTTTTACTTCATCATCATGGGGCTGCAGACTGGTACAAAAAAGGCATGCGAAAAATCTTCTGACAGCAGTATAGAGAAGTAATTTTATTTTCTGCAGAAATAATCTAGGATGAGAGCTCCACCTAATTGAAATGAAATTCTGCAAATCTTTGTGATGTTTGCTATTTTGCACTAAGAATTTCTGATGCAGGATGTGACTGAATTGTCAAAGAGCCACAGAAATCCCCTTTCCTTAAATCACCACTTGCAAGAATTGCACCCCAATAAATGTCAAGGATTGTGCCAGCAGATACTTCTAACAATACATACATGAAGCACATACACGAAGAGTCTACACAAAACTCATGTAACATAAAGTACTGACATTACCTGTGACTGCCACTGCTGATAAGCGAAACATCGTTCTTTTAGTTTTGGCAATGTTTTTAATGCCATATTTGTCAAAGTCACAGTCATCATACTGTTCAGAAATATCTTCACCTTCACTTTCTAATTAAAAAAATTATTTTAAACCACTCAAAGCATAAAAATGTTGCCACCAGGCTGGCTGTGACGATCATGATCAAAACATCCACATAATGCATCCTAACATAGGAACTAAACAACGCTTAAGCCCTTTGAACCACTGCCCCTTAGAAAAATGATTTTCTTTCCAGGCAGCCTGCCGAGACATGTATGTCTGTGCTTATGCCTGATCTCTTTTGAGATCCAAAAACTACTGATTACACAATAAGAGATGCATCTGTGAATGAAGACATTTCAATCTTTTATTATTAACAACAATAATGTGGTGGGGGAACTAGTTACCACATTTCATACTGTTGTGCTATAATTCTTTGTTGGACTGACTTTTTATTGAAATTCTTGTAAATGAATATTAATTATTTGGCTTACATTACTCGTTGTCTCTACATTTGTTTACATCTGAATATTTAGCATCCATCACATGGCATTACGTGACCGACTATCAAACATAGAGAAACATCATCAACATGAAGCAACAGTTTTTAGAAAAATGATGGATACATGTTCTTCTCAAAATGAAAAGGTAACTTGAACTTCATCTGGTTTTTATTTTTTTTTCAGTAATGTGATAAAGTATTTTTCCTTTAAGGTTTAAAATGTTTTCTCAGCTGTATCTCCTCCTCCTTTCTTCTTCCACTGCTTTTCTTTCTTTTCCTCTTTCTCCTATTCCTCCTTTTTTAGCAACTAATGGAGCTTATGCCCTCAGTCAACTCACTCCAGGCCTTTCTATCCTTTTGCTGTCTCATGAAGCTCACTCTGTGTCCTCCTTTTTCGTTCCCCACTGTCTCTAATCCTCATCTCCTTTATTGATTATTTATTTTAAAATATTATGTTGGGCACATTCCTTGGCGAGGACATAATTAACTCTTTGAGTTCCAAGGAATGCATCATACGTTCATAGGTTCCTACCTAGAAGCCCAATGAACGCATGGTACACCGATTGTATTGCTTTCTTTACTACCCCCCGGGCCTGTGATGCTAAACCCCCTGGGACTCAAAGAGTTAAATAATAAAATACAAACAGTCTCATGCTCACTACAAAGACTAGTGCCCAAGTGCTGCAGAAGCCGGTTGTTTTGACAATTACTGATTTGTCACTCAATTCTTCATTTTTATAGTCGTGAGAAGAGAGGATCTGGATTCTATTTTAGTTAACTAATGTTTCAGTTTGTCAGTTATATGCTTGGGACATTTATTTGTTATCTTCAGGGAGCTTCTGTGTGAATGGCTAGGATGTTGGGCTCACACTTGGGAGACCTGGGTTCAAGTCCTTGATTAGATGATGGAGTTTTTCTGTCATTTGCAAAGAATACATTCCTAACATGCACAGTTGGTGCAACTTCATCAGTCATGAATCCCTAAGTCCTCTGGGTAGAAAGGTCCCCTTTATCTTACCCTTCACAACCATACACATTTGTATATTCAGTGCAATAAAGGACCAGTTTTAACAATAACATTGTCTTACTCGCTAAATAGTTCTGAGTGACCTGATCTTCAATATAAGTGAGATATGAAATGAAGAAATAACATTGACAGAGCTCTGAACAGATGTTGATATATTGGGGGGTTGCAGGAATTACAAGCCCATTCATCTTAACTATAAAGAAAATGCAAATGAAATTTATGGATCAATCCAGAAGAATAAGTGGAATAGGAAAATTAATTTTATTTGTGAAAAATACTAGGCAGTAGAGGCAGGAGAAGAAAAAGAAACACCAGTTTCATCAAAATACCATGTGAGAGAGGATTAGAAAGTTGTGATCTTTGATGCCTGTCCCACATCAGACATCTGAAGATCATCTATCCCTGCATAATAATTTTAGCTGCTCAGATGGATGTACTTGGGGCAGTAAATGCTTCTGTACTTTTTATCTGCTTTTGTGTTACGCTACTTTCAGATTTCTGTTGCTCTGCAAAGTCTGACAGACAGCGTTAAGAAAATAACAGACTTCTACTGTGTGCCATCAGCAGGAGGCAAGGATGTTCAGACTAAGGATAGTGGGCCTTTTTTAACACAGTCCGACCTGACTTCATTCCATGCTGCAGAAGAAAAGTTCTCTTGTAATCTAACCAGATTTACAAAGAAGCAGTTCTTTGAGGTAGTATCTCTCTAGTTTTTTCCTTACTTTTGTTCTCTCTATGTGAATTAAAGTTGTGCTTACTTATTAGCAGAAATTAGTAAAGAACACTCACATTTCTTTGACATTTTCTGTTTGTTAGCTTTAAAAAAAGTGGAACTTCTAGAACATTGCTATGTATGTAATAAAAAAATAAAAAAAAAACCATGGCAGTAGGCAATTAAGCTTAATAACGGCTGGGGTCTAGATATTCGTATGAGCTGGTTTTAGTCATAATCTTACATGATGTTTTGGGGCCACCCACAAAGTAAATGAAGCTAAATTCTGCCTTTTCAGTTGCACTGTTGTCATCATGGCACTTACTGCTTTAAACATTTTCCACTCTGTGTAGATGCAGGCAAGTTTTATATGTTTGTTGATTTGTCTAGTGTACTTTATAGGTAAAAATGTGCTAAATAGTTTGATTAAATTTGGTGTTTTTCTGCTGCAGGGTATGGCAAATATGACGGGAAAACAGGAGGTAGAGCACTATGACCTTGTCGATGTAAGCTTACCAGAAAAAGAGTCCCCGAGTGGTGATTCTCGTTTCTTGGACGACTGTCAGGAATTTTCTCGCTTGCAGCAGATGTAGGTTCCTACTACTGTTCATTACAAAATGTGGTCTGGCTGGTTATTTCTGATTTATATTTGTGTGCTGCATGTGATATTTTACTTGGTTTCTTTGTATCTTTAATATAATTTAATTAAAAATAGTTACACTTCTTATGTATCCAAGTTTCTATTGCTTCTATACTCTTATGTATATTTATATGATCTATCACATCATTTTCTTGTTTTTACTTCTGTGCTTGTTTCTTTCACTATTTCTGACTTTTTATTTACGTTGTATATTTCTGATCTTAGAAAATCATTTCAAATTCAATATTCTGAATCCATTTTCTTCTGCTGAATGCTGTCTTTATTTATCCACAAAGTTGTATATGATCAATCAGCACCTGGCATTGTCTTTAAATTAATCATTAGTATGCAGTCAGCTTGTTAGAATGTTTTGTTATCTAGACTTAGCTACTGCAAATATCAAATAAAAGTGAGTAAATAGTGACAGAACAATAATGAACAAAGTTAAACAAGATTTAATATTATAAGATTTGCATTGATTTCTTGTGATATAAAAATTTGAGTGAACCAATTGTCAGATTTGATTATTTACCAGAAATATCTGTCAGAGATTTGTTTTTAGTGAACTGAAGTTTTATCTTCTAATTGTGTGTACTTATAAACTGTTTACTGATTAAATCCACAGTTGTGTGACAGGAAGTTGATGCAGTATAGACTGGGTTTTCATTATATTGTTTCAGATTTCCCAAGAGTGAATGTGATCACATAAATGCATTAATAGGTGCAGCCAAGGCTCTCAGTGCAGTGAATGAAGCAAAATCTATTTGTAGTGTCTTGAAATCAAACCAGTTTCCCACATCAGCAACTGAAATCAGGTATAGAGAAATGTTGCCTCACTGTGTGAACATTGATGCAGGTTAGGTTTCAGTCTCATCTGACTGTTTACTAGCCACCAGTATATGCAGGGTAAACTTTGAACCTCAGCTTGTAATTACATATTTATGCAGAAAATGCCTGTTGGATAACGAAAATATGTTCAAAACATTTGGGTTTTTTTTTTAAACTACCAATATTTGGACATGGTTATTGAATAAATGTTGATACCTGCAGGTTTTTACAGTTATTTTCCAGAGTGCTTTAATTTTTAAACACTTTTATCACAATTTCTAGCTTTGTCGTGCAGATTCTTTATCTCCTGCCATTTATTCAATAGGGGAGTATGGGTCATCAGCCACCTCATGCCAAGTCATCTTTTATCCGCTGCAGTTGCATGCAATTTATCTCATGTATTTGTTACTTGTGTGTGTGTGGGGAGGGGGGGGGGAAGGGGTCAGGTGGGTGGAAAGGGGGGGGGGCGCGAGGGGTCAGGTGGGTGGAAGGGAGGGGAGGGGTCAGGTGTGTGGAAGGGAGGGGGGGGGAACTGGCTGACTGAGTGACTGACTGACTGACTGACTTGTCAGTTTTTCTTTGAGGGGGGGGGGGGGAATGAGGTATCCAAGCTCACCCCTATACTTAATTTCCATTGCCATTTACTACATACATGCCTGGTAATGCAGATTGTTAATTGTTTGAAAAAAAAAAAATAATTCTTTCATGCATTGTATCTTTCTTGTTAAAAATTTTTTTATTATGTTCCATACATAGTTGTCCTTGATTTCTGCTTGCTAATTATGTTAAACCTGCTCACCCTGGTGACCTAGGAAAAACCAAGATCCTTATTTCAAGAGTTCCTCCAAAACAATCTCAAAAAAGCGACCATTTTATATGTCACTAACAATAAAAAATAAAATCACACAGAGAATATTTGTGGACCAAAAAAAAATGGCATACAGAAAACCGGCTTATGTTTTTTTTTTTTAGCCTCTAAACTAATTATAGCATGACATTTACATGTTACCTTGACCACTGTGGCCAGTGGGGAAAATATAATATCCAAATTACTATAAATAAAGCAGTTTTTTTCACTATGACCTCCCCCCTCCCTCCACCCCCCCATGCTTTTTTTTAAAAAAAAGTAAATTTAATCACCCTCATTGTGTTAAAATTTTTGCACATTTTCAAATGGAATCATTTCCTTCAGGTAGCCTTCTCATAAACAAATTACCTTAGCACTAAAGGGGCTCTAGCTTGGGCATTGTACCAACCAGGACTGCAAAGTTTGCAGCATCTCGGGCTGACAGTGTTGTCTACTTTAATTTGTCATTCTTGATAAAGTTGCACTCATGTTTTTAAAACAGTCTGTTCATCCTGATCTTTCCCATAAAGTATAAATAGATATTCTTCAAGATAAAATAAGTTAGTTAGTTAGTTAGTTAGTCTTTCCTCTTGTGTCGAGTGCGGCACATAGGGCAGAGGTCGTGACTCTCCATGCACGGCGGTCCGTTGCAATCCGTTGTAGGTCTTGGATGTTTGAGTGGCCCATGAGCGAGCCTTTCCTGATGATAGTTCTACGTAGGGTTTCCCTTGGTCTTCCACGAGATCTTTTCCCCTGTGGTGTCCAAATGAGGGCTTGGTAAGGAAGTCTTGATTTATCCATTCTAAGGGCGTGGCCGACATAGTTCCAGCGGCGTTTTCGTATAAAATTAGACACATACTCTTGCCTGGATTCTTGCCTTATTTGTGTATTGGTTCGGAAATCTGACCATTTGAAATTTAGTATTCTTCTAAGGCATTTATTTTCAAAACTGTCTAATTTTGTGTCTAGAGTTTTCGTTGATTTCCAGCTCTCGCATCCAAAGGTTAGTACTGGAATCACTCAAGAATTGAAGATCTTGAGTTTTGTGTGTTTGCTAAGTGTCTTTGATTTCCAGATGTTAGACAGTTTATTGAAGGCACTAGATGCCAGTGCTTTTCTAAATGATATTTCTGGTGCGGTATCTCCTGTAGATGACATCTTGCTCCCTAGATAAGTGAAACTGTTGACTTTTTCAAGGCTGTTGTTGTTCAGCGTGATATCAACTGAACTGTTGGTAAGGTCTAGAATTTTTGTTTTTGCGGTGTTAATTTGGAGTCCAATTTGTTCTGAGAAATTCTGGAGTCGATTGATTTTTTCTTGGGCGTCTGTGTGTTCTGAACTCAGGAGTGCTATGTCGTCGGCGAAGTCTAGGTCTTCCAGAATTTTGTCAACCCATGTAATGCCTAAATTTGCGTTATTTATGCACTTGCGCATGACCCAGTCGATTGCTATACCAAAAAGCATCGGCGATAGGACACAGCCTTGCTTCACTCCTGTTTCCACCGGGAACCAGTCAGAATTGCCGGAATCAGTTCTTACACAGCATCGTGTTTCATTATAAAAAGATTTTATGATGTTGATATATTTGATGGGGAAACCATAGATGTTAAGCAATTTCCAGAGTGTTGGACGATGGATACTGTCGAAGGCTTTTTGAAAGTCGACAAAGTTGATCAATAATTTCGACTGGAATTCTGTAGAATCTTCAACAATTATTCTAAGAGTAAAGATGTGGTCTATGCATGACCGCTTGGATCTAAAACCGGCTTGTTCTTTCCTTAATCTTTCATCTATGGATTTTTTCAATCTTTCTAGTAGCATACTACAAAATAGTTTCCCTGGTATCGAAAGCAGGGTGATGCCTCTCCAGTTGTTACAATCGGATAAATCACCTTTTTTAGGTAATTTGAAGATTACACCATCTTTCCATTGTTGTGGTGGGTATTCGTTTTGCCAGACTTCATTTATCAGCTGGAGCAAATGTTGCAGGGTGTTTTCATCCGCTGCTTTGAGCATTTCCCCTGAGATGTTGTCCTCTCCGGTAGCTTTGTTTATTCTTAATTTTTTAATAGCTGTTTTAATCTCCTCTATAAGTAAGCACATGTTTTTAAACACTTTATTAATTCTTTTGTTTGCAAAGCCTAATTAAAACTTTTATTGATATCATGCTTTTTCAGTATGTTTTACAAATGTAATGATGTATACATTTTTTTATTGACACAAATTGCAGTGTCAACACCATTATGTCTAAAATAGTTTGCGTGGGGGAAGCATTCACTTTCGTGTTGCTCCTTTGACATGTATTTCTATAAAACAGCGAACTGAGAGTCATCATTCAGCAAGTAATAGTAATAACCCTTTTGGTTAAGCTTGTGAATGGCTTTTTGTGTGTTAATTCATATAATTTGTTATCCCAACAAAGAGACACGATAGTTTGCTATTTTCACTGCAATATACCGACCACACATGTGCGAGCCAGTCTAAAGTTGTCACTGTTTTCTGAATCTACAGTCGCCTTCATCACATTGTGGAACAGAACATAGAGATTACTAAAGCAGAGATGTCATCTTTACAGTCATCTGTGCCAGGACTGATTCAAGAATTGGGAAGTCTGCAAGGAACAGAAATCCTCACAGGAGATTATGATTTAAAACTTCAGCGCCAGGATTACTTCATTAAAAAACAAGACAATGTATGTTGATGCTAAAATTGGCACCTCACCAGCTTTATGTTTAAGAAGTGTTATCAGCTGTTTGTTTCAGATCTTATTATGCCTGCAATTTTAACTATATAGATTTAAAATTAAAAAGTGTCTTGTCTTGTTATTTTTCTGCGTCAGAATGAAAAGTATACTCTTCTTCTTCTTCTTTCTCTTTGTGTTCAGTTTCGTATGCTCAGATCAGACCATCAGGTGGTTTGCCTCTATGAACTTGCATGTCAGTAGCATATCCTTTATGGTTCCCCATTGCTTGCTTTACACACTTTGCTCTTAAGGCCAGGTGTCTTTTCGAAGTTGTAGGTAGAGTGGGCAGGTCTGCAGAATGTGCTCAGGTGTTTGTGGTCCTGTTTGACAGGCACACTGTGGGGACTGTACAATCTGTATTTTATGTAAATGATAGTGTCCTGTTTATAGACAGAAAATTGTATGTTGCTTTCTGTTGAGTCTGCTGTTGGGGTCTTGTGGATGTTTACTGTTAGTTTGTTCTCTCCACAATTCTCCCTTGATAAGTGTTCTGATTTCTGGTAATGACAATCAATGGGCCTGTTGTTTCTCCTTTGTTCCATTTTTTGCAAGTCTGTCTGCTTACTCATTTCTTGATATGCCGCAGTGAGCTGGGATCCACTGGAGAACGATTTGATTGTTTTGAATAGTAAACAAGATGAACATAAAAGAATACATAAAGAGCCGGTATGTAAGTGTGAGACAACAAAAGAAGCCTACCTAAATAAAGTAGTCATCTTTGTTTAAATCAGTGCATCAGCTGTCATGCATTAGAAAGTATAACAGTTAAAATTGAGAGGATCGAGTTCATTGCACAAGGTTTTTATCCTTTATGGCTCAGTGTTTGTCTCGGCAGAATGCTAGCTGCCTGCCAAATGCATCTCAGAAAGCAAGAGCTCTGATGATGATTCTTATGGATATCGCATTGGTTTTGATTCAAAGTATTTCTCTACTGTATTGATACAGTGTGTGGCACCATCTCACAAATTCTGGAATGAACTCAGCAAATTGTCTTGCTGTATATGTAGGAAAGTAACTGGCACTAGTTGAACAAACGAGTGGGTTATTTGTTATTAGCTGATCCTACAGCATTGCAGTTTGGTCATATCAAAGATGAACAGTACCTGTTTAGGTGATGAGCTTTGCTTTATGAATGGCTTTTTGTCTTGGCCATAATAAAATCTGTCATTATTTAATAGTCATACTATTAAAATCTATTTTCATGTTTCTAGTAAAAAAAAAACTGAGTGTAGTGGTGTATGGAAAACATCATATATTTTGATTGATGAGTCATATGATTAAATAATAGCTGAGAATGATATAGAAGATAATATAAAATTGAACTAAAAATTGGGGATGAACGGTGTAGATTTGTTGAAGGTAAAGGCATAGATAACACCATATTAGATAGAATGTTGGAAAACTTAGACATTGATGAGAATAATAATATTTTCCTGTATTTTGTCACTATTCCATTGTGTCTGCCATTCCTTGTTTTTTGTTTGTTTGTTGGTTTATGGTTCATTATTTTACTTTAGTGAAGACTGGATTATCATTTTTTTCTCAATATTTATCCTGTCTAGCATTTTTCCTCCTCCCTGTTCACTGGAGTTTGTTTGGTTCATCCCTTAGCTCCACATAAATAATCTGTCATACCATTTGCCCTGTTTTTTTTTTTCAAGCACTAGATTTTAAATAAAGATATACAGTACTGATTTCACACTATAGTTGAATATTTTAAGTTCAGTGCTTATTTTAATTTAGTTTTTCGAGTGCTATAAAAGCTTCTCTTGTGTTGTGCATTATTATTTTAATATCTGTTTTCTTGTATCTTTGTCTACATTGTTCTAAATTAAAATGTTCGAATCCATGTTTTGAAATGAGATTTCATAAAAGAATAATGGGGTTATTACTATCTTGATTTATTTTCACTATGTTTGTCTTTACCTCAGAAATTATAGACCTAGTTGTGACTGCCTATCAAGTGTGTTATTTTATTTTGCACCAAATTTTGTAATTCTCATTAACTACCCTGTCAAAGTCCACCATTTAATGACTGTTATTTTGACATAGGTTACTGTTGTCTTCACTATCCAACTATAGTCTGTTAAAATAATACAGCTGTCAGAAGGCTGTTATCTCTTGTGTGGGATAACTGTTAAGCTAAAATTTAACAGCCAATCTTCCTATCAGTACTGACTATAAATGTTTTTTTCTTTTTAATTTTATGGAAGGTCGTAGACCAGCTGATTACCCAAAGAGCTCGCAGTGAATTCCTGGTTATGTTATATGAGTTTGAGTCTAGATGTCATCAGGAAACACACCATCTTCTGTCAGCTGCTCGACGGGTACTAGAATCAAATCTCCAGACATGGCAACAGCGGATGGTAAGTGCTTTTATTTTGTGTAACCACAGTTGGCAACATAAAACAATAGAATTTCATCATAAAGTCAAGATGAGACCAGAAAGTACAATAACACAATATATTTCACATTAAAATATTTTGCAAAAACTGAATTTTATTTTGAAAATACATATTAGATGTGCAATATAGCTTTGCACTATGAGGTGAAGAAACAAGTTTTTTGTTGTTGTAAATCCTATTATTCAGACAAGATATTTGGGTGGTTTCCAGTGAAAATTTTAGGGTAGCTGCAAAGATGACGCTTTATAGAAGAATAATAAAATGTCTTACAAGAAACTATGTTACAATGAGAAGTCATTATTCACTTAAGAAGAAGAGAGTCTAAATTCTTTAGGTACCTCATAGATCAGGAAAACTGGAGCATGTCATAAGAATTATGAAGACAACTATGACAAGAATGGCATTCATATAACCCTAATAGAGAAGCTTGGTGATCTGTATTTCATTGGCAACATTGAGACCCTGTCCTAGTTTTGAATTGAAATACACAATAAATTGAACAAGCTTTATGAGAAACTCGCAGTATTACAGTTTTTTAAAAAGCATCTAGGAAAGAAAGGTTATGAGAATATGTAAATTTACTATAACCCAGCTAATCAGGTAATCACATTTAATAGTTGCTCTGCTTCCATGCCAACAAAAGCCACACAGAATGCCCATTGCTGTCTTTTGAAAACACAATTGACACTGACTGCGGTCTCTGCAAAGCCAACAGCCTACACACACAGTCTGACACTAGAATTGGGTGATGGAAATATATATTTTTAGTCTGCATATGGGGAAAATGCAATAGCTAGCCTTAGCCAGAAACAGGCAAATTGCCATGACTAAAAACAATAATCATGCCTATCCACGATATTGGAGTTGAAGCCTTCCAGATGTGGAATAATTCACCAATTTAAGCAGCAGTTAGACAGAGGAACAGATAGAATAACAGACATGAGAAGGGTTTTCACTACACTAAGAAATATGTGGAAGTCATTTGAAGAACCTAGTACCAAATTGATAATATTTAACTTTGATGTAAATTAGCCCTGTAACAGTACTGTAGAGTTTTCAGAAATGACATTCTAGTCTCAAAACTCTAAGGGGAAGTGCCAACTGTTCCTTCACATGGTAGAAGACGGTAAACACTGCAGTCGGCACAGAGATAAGTGACCATCACTAGAATACCACCGGCTGTCAGCAAGAGTACCACAAAGCAGGGTACTCACTTGTGGTGGCAATCTGAATGATTGCTTAAGGCTGAGGACATGATCCAGAACTGTAGATAGCAAAGCGAAAACTACCATAATAGTATTCATAGAAACCGAATCAAGGATAAAACACATTCTAAAAGACATAGTCATCAGAGTTCTTGTAAACAACATTTTCGCTCTGAAAGTGGAGTACTGTGGCCATATCAAATATTTCAATAGCTTGGAAGGAACAGTAATGAAATGCATAGAATTGTGAAAGAGGCAGGGGCCGACCAGCATGAAGGTTAGTATAAGTCTCAGGAGACACCTTGGAAGGTGGGTCTGGCAAAAGAGCAGCTTCCAAATGGGATGTGATGGAAACAACATTTTGTGAAAGACCTGCTTGTTGCTTTTCCATATTGATTTTCTAGCACACCAGTCTGAGCCATTCATGCTCCATCCTCTGATGCAGCAGCCTTCTCAGTGTCTCCATGGTCACTGTACCAGTAGAGGTTAACTGGCAGTAGACTTCTTAGTGTCTCCATGGTCACTGTACCCAATAGGAGTTAACTGGCAGTAGACTTCTTAGTGTCTCCATGGTCACTGTACCAATAGGAGTTAACTGGCAGTAGACTTCTTAGTGTCTCCATGGTCACTGTACCAATAGGAGTTAACTGGCAGTAGACTTCTTAGTGTCTCCATGGTCACTGTACCAGTAGAGGTTAACTGGCAGTAGACTTCTTAGTGTCTCCATGGTCACTGTACCAGTAGAGGTTAACTGGCAGTAGACTTCTTAGTGTCTCCATGGTCACTGTACCAGTAGAGGTTAACTGGCAGTAGACTTCTTAGTGCCTCCATGGTCACTGTACCAGTAGAGGTTAACTGGCAGTAGACTTCTTAGTGTCTCCATGGTCACTGTACCCAATAGGAGTTAACTGGCAGTAGACTTCTCAGTGTCTCCATGGTCACTGTACCCAATAGGAGTTAACTGGCAGTAGACTTCTCAGTGTCTCCATGGTCACTGTACCAGTAGAGGTTAACTGACAGCAGCCTTCTCAGTGTCTCCATGGTCACTGTACCCAATAGGAGTTAACTGGCACATCTGCATGCCTTTTCTCATTTAATACCCATTTCCAGCAGGCAGTTCATTGTCTCTGACTCCTTTGTCTTAAAATATTTGTTTAATGCAGGAAGTATATGCTGCAGGAATTAAACATAGATAGATATGAGTGTCCTGGTTATATTAGTTATATAAATCCTACCGGACAAAAAAGACAGGGGCATTGTCTTCTGGTGAGAAATGGGGTGAAGCATGTGATTCTTGACCTGAGCCAATGGAATCATGGTACACTAGAGGTTCAGGGTATACAGATAGATAATGGAGGAACAACCTCGAATTTAATAAATGTTTACGCTGTTGTTGAATCTCTTATCACTATGGAACATTAGGACTGGCTCAGAGAGTTGGAGGAAATCCCTAGCAGTAGGCTTCTAATCTGTGGGGATTTCAGTGCGCGGAACAGAGCATGGGACAGTACTAGGGAAAATATACAAGGAAATGCATTAGCAGAGGCTATGGTGGATGCAGACCTAGTCTGTATAAACGACAGTAGGCCAACTAGAATGACAATGAAACCTGGTGATGCAGATACAGCTTTTGATTTGGCATGTGTTACTCAGTCAGCAATGCTGGACACAAAATGGAGTGTCCTGGGTGATCATGGGAGTGACCATATGCCATGCACAGTCTTGATTTCTAAAGCTAGGAAGATCAAGGCTGTGAGAACATGCAAGACTTTAAAGTATAAATGGGGCAGTACCCTTCTTGGATGCCTCCAACAGAAAGTATGCAGCAGAACCACTATCTCTGCTTTTGTGCAGCCTCCATGGTGGACCCAAGAAGTAGAAGAGGCATGGAGAGCAAAGCAAGCAGTTAAGCAATTACAGCAAGTGCGAGAGCACCTCACAGATTTCAAGAGGATTTAGAGAAGCTAGACAGAGTTAGAAAAGAAAAGGTAGAAGAGTTCAAGCGGTGTGCAAAAAAAAGCTAAATAGGAACATTTTATGAGCAAAATTAGAGGAGATAAATTACTGCGTAGGTTTTGGAAACTCTACAGACAGATGCAAAAGAAGGATCAGCTTATCACAACAGGCACTGATAAAAATATGCCAGAGACAACAGACAAAGACAAAGGGAAAGGGAAAGCATTTTTGAAGAGATTTATATAGCCCAAACTGATCATTATGATAGGGAGCTTAGAAATTCAGTTAGAGATAATCTGTCTAATACTTTAAATTTTGAAGATATCATTAGGGTGGAGGATATGAAATATAAACTGCAATAGTAAGCAGTGCAAGTATATATCACATACATACTACCGGGGTATCTCTTGTACATCCCAGAATTATCCGCATAATCTTGAGAGCATTGAGTCCTTTTTGGCATTTCACCTCTGAGCAACGTATCTTGACCATAACAATGCTAAAGGCAAATACTAGGTTTCTCCAGGACATGTCACTATTGCAGGTTGGTAGATTAGACCCAAACGGAAGTGTTGGCTTTGTGGCTTCTCGGAGCAACAGGGTTTAAATAACATACAAAAGAGAGATGCAGTTAAATAATATGGAGATGACATGATTGATTTGGTAAAGATGGAACAGCTATTGTAAGTTAATTACTTCATTCAGGGTTAAAACGCAGAAGAGGAATTACAGAAATAAAAATATGAAAGAGAAATGCCTACTGATTGTTAATTCTGATACCAAAGGCAAACTGACTTGGGTGCTGGTGAAGAAAAAATTAAATAATTAAAGTGACTAAACATTAATCCTATCATCACAGGACCTGCAGTAAGTAATTGTTACTCTGGTGATTGAAGATGCGAAAAAGAGCTTTAGCTTGAACAGCAAATAGGCAGAAGTAATGGCAGAGTTGAGTTGATTGAAGAACCAACATCAGAGCGCTCAGGACATTCCCTTAAGCGCCCCATCTTTGTCTTAAGCAGTTAAAGCAGAGTTCCAATACCAGTGGTACCTGTAGCTGTCCATTAGCTCCTCTGAATTGTACACATACTCCCATAAAACCTTAACCACATCTGCCCTATCATGCATTAGTATTCCCCAAGTTGTGCAGAGCCAGCCAGTTTGTCCACCTGTTTATTACCCAACACACGGGTATACCCCGGAGAAAAGATCCAGACAATGCTCCCCACCCGTGACCTCTGAAGAAAACCATGCCTGTCTTCATTAGCATTCAGTCACAATGTGTGTGTATCATGTTCTCTAGCCAGCTTTTACTGCAGTGACCACCTCCAGGCTAAAGCTGGATGTTGTGGTATCATATGCTAGGCTCTCCAGAAACATTGACCATTAGCTTTTGCCAAGAACCCCTAAACACTTCTTTTGCCATCACACCTGCTAGCCATTCTCTGCACTCTTGGCTCAAGATGATTATGACTCTACACAAATCTGACTGTTCCACTGGCCCTCTGACCCACTCCTCTTATTTCCGAATGTTCTCCAGACTTCAAACCTTTTTGATCGTGTCCTCCGCATGAGCCATCCATGACTTCCCTCTTATCAGCGGATTGCTCTTAACTGTGTCCAGTGCTTCGTGCAAAGGGTGATCTATGTTTGCAGCCACTCTGAGGTAGGACTTCGCCTGCAGCACCTTGAGCCTACCTGCAACAGTCAGCAAACCACAACTGGGATGTCTCTGGTACAGCCCAGAATGACCTGCATAACTGTGTTCTGAATGAGTTATAGTTTAACCATTTTAAGTATCGGATGAAGTATATTTTGCATAAGCATGGACCAATCTTGCCTAAATGTCTCGATTTTGACAAGAGTAGATGAATCTTGCTAGTACCTCAGAAACTGTGTAGCCCTTTAACTAATGAAACTTGTTTCTCACACAATAAAGTTTTTTTCTAAACTATATTTGGCAATTATTGTCTTTCAGAATGATCTTGAAGACCCAGATCTCAGTGTCAAAAGGCTAGAACGCAATGTTGTTGACACAAGAGATAAGTCGTCAGCCCGCCTGTATCATCTATTAGGTAAATTTTTATGAAAGGAAATATTAATTATCACATCTGTGGATGTTCTTTATGTTAACAGTGTGAATGGACACAGTTATTAAGTAGATTCATTTCAGATCACATCTCAGGTAGACTGGTTTTCAGATCACATCTTAAAGTCCATGCCGTGTGGCTTTGGTAGTCATGTCTATCCACAACCTTCTGTCTCGTGTTTTTTCAATCAACTTTGACACAGATGATCTTCCTGGCCATGATGTCAAAATGTCCAGCATCTGTTCTCTTGGTCTCCCTCTGCCTCTTCTTCCCTCCAATTTTCCTACTGTCACAATATATTCCAGTTTTCTCCTCATCACATGACCAAAGAATGTAGATTGTCTCTTTCTGATGTGGCTCTCTTTTTGAGTCAGTCATTCATTACTCTTTTATATCTATCCAGGGTATTTTCATCATTCCTCTATAAAACCACATCTCCTATCGACTGCGCTAACACGGCCCTCATTTCTAAGGGGTGACGTGAGCAACGTTTTAAAAAATGTGATGTGGAATGAAATAAAAACAAAGGCTAATTTTTATACGTTACTCACGTCAACCCTTACAGATCTGTACACTCTCCTTTCCTCATCGTTACCTTTGTATAGTTCATTCACTTCATGTTTGACAAAGGCTGCCGGCTGAAACGTTTTGTATGTTGTTTTGTGCACGTTTCCCCATTTTCTTAAAGCTTTTTAGTCAAATTTCACTGGAATTCCTTGTATTAGCTTGACTGCAGTCACCCCTATATTTTGACCGGAAAGCTGCAGTTACCGCTTCCACCTCCATTCTCATGCAAGATGTTGTGGTTGTTTTTCTGTTTTTCAAACAAAGACCCTTATTTTCACTCTCCATTCTAGTTATATCCTTCATGTCTTTCAGTCATGTTTCATTTTCAGCGATCAAAACTATGTCCTCAGCATATCGCAGGTTGTTAACAATATACAATCTGTATGTATATGTTGCCTTTTACGTGAAGAGTTTTTTTGCTTTAAAACTCTTTTCTTTCTGCTATGTCTCCCTCTATGAAGCATAGATCCTCAAACAATTTGCATCAGGTCTTTGGTTGGTTAACTTTTACTGTAAAATGTTATAATGAGATAAGGTAGCTAATCCAAAGCTGACCACTAGTCGATTTTTACAACATGATTGGTAGTATTACTATTTATCCTTCAGGTCCTGGTAACACTTGGGGAGCTCATAAATTGGCTTTGCAGTGATTACCACATCATTGTTGATGGTGATGTGAACAGTTCTGGTTGTTTGTCCACCTCCGGACATCTTTGTACAAGTCTGGCTTATTTGTATGCAGACTTCAAAGGAAATACCCCCAGTTTGTCGCCTTTTATGACATGCTTGTTAGGTTGGCAGTGGGTTATTCCCCCTCACCCCCCCCCCCCCCACAAATACCAATAAGGCCTTGGTACTCACACAAGGCGGTAACTTGTCTAAGTTCAGTGTTTTTTGCCAGGTAAAATGCCAGTTATAGCCTACTCTTTATCATTTCAGCTATCCATAAATCTCAACAATAATTGTGATAGAACCTCTTGTGTATTTACCATTATCAAAAAAAGGGAAATCACCTGATAGCATGAGCTAAGTGTGGAAATATTGCATCTTGTCCATTGTTGTTGTCAGCCAAGACTTTTCTCTGCCTTCTACTTCTCTTCCTTCACTTATTTATTCCCTGGAGGGTTACCTTAGAGAGGGTTACCTTTGAGAGGGTGTTATGACATGCAACATGGTGGCAGTGGTTCTTGATGGCCAGCATCAACAGTTTAGTTTGACGTTAGCATAGACATTTATACTGGGTTTCTTTACTTGATGTGCACAAGTTTCCTCAAGTATTTCTGTGTAAAATCTGAATCTTTCATTACGTTTTAGAATGCAACTCTCACACCTATTTAAAAAAATTGATACCACACGTTACTTAGATTGTTTGATCTTCACATGTAAGCTGATGTTACCTGTCCATATAAAATTCACTTGTGAAGCCATCTTTAATCTTGTTTTGATCTCTTTACTACCACCATTAGACTGACAGTTAAGTTAATATTAAAAAGTGAGAAAAAATGCACAAAGAATACATAAAGAGTGGACAAAGAGACTTTTTGATAAACAGATATTTTTTACGAGGAAAGGAAAAAATAACATATAAGACATTTTAAAAGCCGGGAACAGAAACAAAAACTGTCCCCTGGCACATTGACTAAATTGAAACATTGTTTTGCTACATTCAAGGAGACTTTGTTGATGATGAACAAATGCTGTACCTGCCAAAGCAAAAGATAATAGAGAAAGCCAAGCAACTGGATCATCAGTACAGCTGTGCTAGAGCATCTGATAAAACCATGGATGAGAAATACTTGACTAAAATATCCCAGCTGTAAGTAATTGCACTTGTTTATATTCATTGATGAAGTGTTTATCTCTTCACTATCATATAACTGGTCCTTTGCAGAATGTGATTCCATAATGACCCATTGGAGCAACTTTTGATCCTTTGCCTTGTACATTTTCATGCCAACAGGATCATTAACCTGTGTCTGACTTCCTTCTAGTCAACCCCTGCCATGAACCAGATTGTCTGTTATCACTCTTCCTAAACAACTGTGATATTTAATATGGCCAAAGTGTTTTAATTTCTCACATAAAGTACCCTATGTTCACATCTTGTAGAACATCACTGTATCTCATCTGTGGGGTCCACCCTGTTATAACAATTTTTCTTTGTTATAAAAACTTCCCTAATTATTGGGGGGAGCAGTGGTTTGATTCAGGATTCAAAGTTAGCTGCGGATGATTTGGGTGCAGGCAGCTTTGCATTGATTTTGGCAATGTTTTGTGTGTGTTGCATTGACGTTTTCTTGCTTCTTTTGAATCGTTCGTCTCATTGTTGATTCACTCAGTCAGCCAGATGCCACCGCCACAGTGAAAGTTAGCTGCAATGGATCTCCATCACTCTGTTTCTTGTCTTGTTTGTAAACTCTTAGACTGTTATCTATCCATCTCTTGATGTTGTCCTTCCACTTGTATCATTGCCTATCTCTTGCTTTCTTGGCCCCAACCTTTCCTCCAGTATGGTTTGTTGATTATGAAGTCAGAATATTCCATGTTCCTCATAAACATCTTCCACTTTTGCTGTCAAGTGTTATGAGGAGAAATAGTTTATGGTTCAGCCCTCAGTGACTGATGCTGTTGTCATCCTGTGTGAATTAACAGTGCCTTTCTTGTCCTCTGTCTCTTAGTTGCCCTCTTCCTCACATATTAGATCTTATGGAGAGACCCAAAGAAGTTCTAGTTTGTGAATAAGTGACTTGTGCTAGATAGGATACATTGGGAAATCTCACAACTAGTAAGTTTTTACTCTGGAATCGATAGGACACAAATGTATAGGATAAAAGGCAGAAATCAAATGGTTTGGCCATGTAACAAAATTGGCAGCAGACAGGACACCACAGAGAGCAGTGTTATACAGATACAGTGATAACAGACCCAGAGGTCGACCACGCAGAAGATGGACTGCATAAATGTCAGAGACACTGAAAGGTACTATACACGAAGCGAACAGAAGGGCCCGTTCTAGAGATCTCTTCCTCCCTTGCCACAAGGCATTCCAGGAGTAGAGAAAAGAAAGAAAGAAAGAAAGAAAGAAAGAAAGAAGAAAAGGCAGAACAACAACAATAGAAAAAGCTGATGTGGGGGGTCAAATACTTAGCTGGAAAGGCAGAGGAAGACAGAGATAGATTCATGTGCTGAGCTTATATAGATTGACAACTGAAAATAGTTGTGTATGCAGCACCAATTTTTGATCGTCAGTTGACAGAGAGGATTGAAGAACAAGCCTCAGCTTTGAAGTCACTGTTTGTTTCTAGCTTCTGAAATGTTAGCAGCCGGTACTTGTTGAATACTGAGATGGGGTACCTGCTCATTGAGACTGTAATAGATCCTAATTCTTATTTTGTCTTGTCAGTTTTTAGCTTTCGACATTCCTCACATGTGCATAAATAATTGTTCTTCAGGGAACAAGTGCTCCTCCTTTCAGTCCATTAAACCTGCTCAACTGAAACTAATATTCTTGCATGTGAAAATGTTCAAGCCAGTGTTGCTAGATATTATGGGTTTCAGTGCACCTTCTGATCCACCATTTGACATCAGTTGGCTCAACCCTGCCCTATTGGAGGGGGGTGGGGGAGGGGGATTTCATCTACTACATTGAAGTAGCCAGTTAAGAGTTTGAAACCCAAGCGTTTAAATAAATTACTGGGGAGATAAGGATCTAGCACTTGTTGGTGAGGAAAACTTTGACATTGTTTGTATTACACATAAGACACGGTTTCTTTAATGTCAGCCTGTATTGTACATCAAGACACACAGTTTCTTTAATGTCAGCTTGTATCGTACATCAAAACACACAGTTTCTTTAATGTCAGCCTGTATTGTACATCAAGACACACAGTTTCTTTAATGTCAGCCTGTATTGTACATCAAGACACACGGTTTCTTTAATGTCAGCCTGTATTGTACATCAAGACAGACAGTTTCTTTAATGTCAGCCTGTATTGTACATCAAGACACACAGTTTCTTTAATGTCAGCCTGTATTGCACATCAAGACACATGGTTTCTTTAATGTCAGCCTGTATTGTACATCAAGACACACGGTTTCTTTAATGTCAGCCTGTATTGTACATCAAGACACACGGTTTCTTTAATGTCAGCCTGTATTGTACATCAAGACACATGGTTTCTTTAATGTCAGCCTGTATTGTACATCAAGACACACAGTTTCTTTAATGTCAGCCTGTATTGTACATCAAGACACACGGTTTCTTTAATGTCAGCCTGTATTGTACATCAAGACATATGGTCTCTTTAATGTCAGCCTGTATTGTACATCAAGACACACAGTTTCTTTAATGTCAGCCTGTATTGCACATCAAGACACAAGGTTTCTTTAATGTCAGCCTGTATTGTACATCAAGACACACAGTTTCTTTAATGTCAGCTTGTATTGTACATCAAGACACACAGTTTCTTTAATGTCAGCCTGTATTGTACATCAAGACACACAGTTTCTTTAATGTCTGCCTGTATTGTACATCATGACACACAGTTTCTTTAATGTCAGCCTGTATTGTACATCAAGACATATGGTTTCTTTAATGTCAGCCTGTATTGTACATCAAGACACACAGTTTCTTTAATGTCAGCCTGTATTGTACATCAAGACACACAGTTTCTTTAATGTCAGCCTGTATTGTACATCAAGACACACAGTTTCTTTAATGTCAGCCTGTATTTCACATCAAGACACATGGTTTCTTTAATGTCAGCTTGTATTGTACATCAAGACACACAGTTTCTTTAATGTCTGCCTGTATTGTACATCATGACACACAGTTTCTTTAATGTCAGCCTGTATTGTACATCAAGACATATGGTTTCTTTAATGTCAGCCTGTATTGTACATCAAGACACACAGTTTCTTTAATGTCAGCCTGTATTGTACATCAAGACACACAGTTTCTTTAATGTCAGCCTGTATTGTACATCAAGACACACAGTTTCTTTAATGTCAGCCTGTATTGTACATCAAGACACACAGTTTCTTTAATGTCAGCCTGTATTGTACATCAAGACACACAGTTTCTTTAATGTCAGCCTGTATTTCACATCAAGACACATGGTTTCTTTAATGTCTGCCTGTATTGTACATCATGACATATGGTTTCTTTAATGTCAGCTTGTATTGTACATCAAGACACACGGTTTCTTTAATGTCAGCCTGTATTGTACATCAAGACACACGGTTTCTTTCATGTCAGCCTGTATTGTACATCAAGACACACGGTTTCTTTAATGTCAGCCTGTATTGCACATCAAGACACACAGTTTCTTTAATGTCAGCCTGTATTGCACATCAAGACACATGGTTTCTTTAATGTCAGCCTGTATTGTACATCAAGACACACGGTTTCTTTAATGTCAGCCTGTATTGTAAATCAAGACACACAGTTTCTTTAATGTCAGCCTGTATTGTACATCAAGACACATGGTTTCTTTAATGTCAGCCTGTATTGTACATCAAGACACACAGTTTCTTTAATGTCAGCCTGTATTGTACATCAAGACTCACAGTTTCTTTAATGTCAGCCTGTATTGTACATCAAGACATATGGTCTCTTTAATGTCAGCCTGTATTGTACATCAAGACACACAGTTTCTTTAATGTCAGCCTGTATTGTACATCATGACACACAGTTTCTTTAATGTCAGCCTGTATTGTACATCAAGACACAAGGTTTCTTTAATGTCCAATATTATGTTGTCTTGGTCGCCCCTGGGTTTCCTTTCAAGAACTGTATCTATCACTAGTACCTAAGTGATCGTCCCCAAGCACTAGACACAATTCCAGTAGAAGCAAAGATGATTCTATGTGGAGACTTTAACAGCCACTCACAAAGCTGGGGGTTACGACCACATAGACCAGAGAGGAGAGAAACTGGAAGAGTGGCAGGATGAGAACAGACTTGTTATGATTAATAGGCCAACTGATCCACCCACATTCTACTCGAGGTCGTGGCACACCACTACTACCCCAGACCTAGCATTTCACTCTCCAGATCTGTATTGGAACATTACACGAGTTGTTGAAAAACAACTGGGAGGCAGTGATCATCGACCGGTCTTCCTGAATGTAGAAAATGAAAAGGTCAGAGGAACTAGTATGCTGCCAAGGTGGAACTACAAGAAGGTTGACTGGACAGTGTTCAAGCACCGTACCAGTATACTGCTTGGAAGTCTCAGTGTAGACCAGGATAAAAACAAAGTAGTTGAAGAATTTAACAAATGCGTACTAAAGGCAGCAGGAGAATCAATACCAAGAGGTGCCCGTAAGCATTATAAGCCATACTGGAATAGTGAACTAGAAAATTTACATAACAAAGTGGAAACATCTAGGAAGAAAGCAGAGACCAGGCCAAACCAAGAACATCACAATAACTTCCAGCATGCAAAAGCAAAATTTGTAAGGCAAAGCTGCAGGTTAGAAGGGAAAGCTGGCAGGAGAAAACAAGGTCATTGAACTTTGAAAAAGACACTAGAAAGTTATGGAAGCTTGTAAAACAAATTAATGATGAGGATACAGGGTGGAACTCAAAGATCACGCTGCTGAAAGATGGAAACATGGTCACAGGAAAAGAGGCAGCCTACCTCTTTGCAGACACTTTTGCATTAGATAATGACATTGAAATAAGTTCAGAGAAAAAAAAAGAAATTCAAGAAAAGACTATTCAGAAGTCAGAAAAAAGTAACATCAGAGGCGCTAGAGGTACCACTTACACTTAATGAACTGGAGTTGGCCATTTCAAAGCTGAAAATGGGGAAGTCATCAGGAGCAGATGGTGAATCTAACGAATTGATCAAAAACTTAGGAACAGTGGCCAAAACAAAGCTTTTACATACATTTAATGCTTGCTGGGCAACAAGAAATGCTCCACAGATCTGGAGAGAAGCAATTATGATACCCCTCATAAAGCCTGGGAAAGACAGTTCCAATGCCCCCAACTACAGACCAATCAGCCTCACAAGCTGTCTCTGCAAAACAATGGAGCGCATCACCAACCTCAGACTACAGTGGTACATTGAAAGTGAAAACATCATTACACCACAGCAGGCGGGCTTTAGAAAGTTCTACTCTAGGGAAGACCAGACAACATACCAAGAAATAGAGGATGCTTTTCAAGATAAGAAACTGATACTCGCGGCATGGATAGATTTAAGGAAAGCTTTTGATAAGGTTTGGAAGGAGGGGCTTTTGAAGAAATTGAGAAACTATAAAGTAAATGGAAGAATGTACAATTGGATTAAAGCATATCTACATAACAGAAGAGCCAGGGTACAGGTAGATGGTTTCAAAAGTATAAAAGTTCTACTGCGACATGGCGTCCCTCAAGGTGGTGTCCTGTCGCCCACACTTTTCCTCTTATTCATCAACGACCTGGTTGCTGAAATACCAAATGGAATAAAAATGGCAATGTATGCTATCGACCTGATACTGTGGTGCACCGATGAACATGCAACAATAGCCACAAGAACACTACAGCGGGCTACAAATGCACTTGAGGCATGGGCGAATAGATGGTGTGTCAGCATCAATACAGACAAATGTAGCACCACACTCTTCACTCTCTCCCCAAAGCAAAAAGCAGGCATAATCAAAATAAACAGAATACCCCTAAGAGATGATAAAGAGCCCACGTGCCTCGGAGTCACATTTGATGACAGGTTGACATGGAGAAAACATATCAACAAGGCAGCAACCAAAGCCAGGAGGAAGACAGCCATACTAAGAAAACTAAGTGGAACCACATGAGGAGCCAGTGGGAAAATACTCAATAAAGTATACAAGCAGAGCATACAACCAAACTTTGAATATGGGTCAACTGCATGGTGTTCAGCATCTAGTACTACATTAAAGGAGTTGGACAAAGCGCAAAATCAAGCACTCAGAGTCATCACAGGAGGGATGAAATCAACCCCCATATTAGAAATGGAGAAAGCTGGGAAAACACAGGCACTGAGAGAACGCAGAAATACAAAGTTGCAAATACAAGCTGAAAAGTTCCTCTGTATGCCAGATCACCCCATGAAAAATAGATTTCAGAACCTGGCCTTGGAACGGTTAAAAAGAAGCAGCTTTATACATCAAGCAAAAAGAATATGTAGACTGCTGACCTTCCAGAAATTGGTTGTCCACAGAACAAACCCCATGGCGAAAGAAATGCAAACTAACACTGCAAATCCAGACAAATGTGAAAGGAATATTGGACAAGAAAGAACAAGATAGTGTACAGCGCAGAATGGCCACCCTCAGTTATATTAATGAAGAATACCCACAAGAACAATGGGTCAGAGTCTATACAGATGGGTCCGCAGAAAGTGCAGTTAGAAATGGTGGCGCTGGAGTGTACATAGAATTCCCAGATGGTACCAACCGGAAAGTACTGCCATAACTATGATGCAGAAACTCAGGCTATCAAGATAGCAACAGAGAAACTGCTAAATACCAATCTTGGCTCACAGTATGTGGTAATGCTGACAGATGCAAAATCAGTACTTGAAGCACTCCAGTCTAGGAAACTACCAGAATTGCAAACACTGCTGACACAACTTAGCATTCAGCAAAGAGTTGTAATGCAGTGGATACCGTCTCATTGTGGAGTGCCTGGAAATGAGAAAGCTGATCTACTGGCAGGAGAAGGTGTGACAAAAGTGCAGCCGGATGTACCAGTCACATACCACCAAAAGAAAAGAATCATTAAATCGATCAGGAAACCACCAGCCCCAGCACAAGATGACTATTTTATTATGGACAAGTCATTATCCTCCGCCTCAGAACAGGGCACAACCGATTACGTAACCAAATGTACACAAAATTCAAGATAGGCGTATCAGCCATGTGCAGCTGTGGAAAGGTGCCCCAGACAGCAGAGCATGTACTCCAGGACTGCACAAAATTTGACACATTAAGGCAAACCTTTTGGCCAGAAAGAACAACAGTGGAATGTAAACTCTATGGACCACTGAATGAATTAACAACAACAGTGAAATATATACAAGAGACAAAATTGCTGATATAGACAACTTATTTTAGGCGAACGAAAGAAGAAGAAGAAGAAGAAGAAGAAGAAGAAGAAGAAGACCAGTACTTCTTCTAAACCTGTGTATGGTTTAATTTTAAGCAAGTTTGTTTCCTGCATTCACTTTTGTTTGTAATAATTTCTTACAAGGAAAGTTGAATCATTCTTTGACTCACAAACAGGGAAAGTTGCATGGTCAGCTCCATGGCAGTACTTTATGGTGGATCAAGCACATCCAGTGGCCAGCCTTCTTTGTCTCCACCAGAGATCCAGTCAGTTATGACAGAGCTGATATCAAACATTGCAAAACTAGAAACTGACCTTGCAGAAATTGTGACTGACGTCACTAACAAGAAAACGGTAACTTTTCTTTCTGAAAATTATTACATTGTAGAAATGTGATTTGTAGCAGTAGACACAGTTAAACAGATGAGTGTAGTCAGTGACTGAAAACTGACCTGTGTCTGAACCAGAACTGACCAAAATCCATACTGTCTCTAAGTGTTGGTCCAGAAAGCCAACTGTAATTTTAACAGTAGAGATGGAAAAGATAAGTGTTTGAGGTCTGAAGTTTGATATACTGGCTAAAGGGTGCCAGTGTCTCAGATCTGCTGAAAAAAAAAAAAAGTAAAAATCCCAAGGCAAAATACATTGATCACATGACACAGCAGTTTTCTGACATTTATAATAAAGGTGAAGACAAAAAGGATGACAATGGACATACAACATAAAGATATAGTCAGCACACAGCCCAGCAGAAAATAGAACCAAAGCTGAAGACATAAGACAGTTAGAGGCGCATTACCACAGACTGTCACTGCAGAGATGTCACTAAATGATTCTGTGAAAGAAAGATGTGAAATTGATGTCAGTCTTCCTGCAGTCACCTGTGGGTGCACATCTACACAGATTGTATACAACATGACTGGATTACTGCATGTACTTAGTTGATAGTTGTCAGAGGTGGTCAGCATCTGTTGTGATGTCTGGGTTCTTCCTGATACTTATGAGTTGTTCAGTTTGACACACTGCAGCCACATAATTGGATGCTGTATGTACATAGTATCTCACAAAGCATGTTAGGGTAGGTGTAGACAGGTATGCTCCATGCAGAGTGGCAAGCATCCCCTCAAGGGTCCCTAGTAGTTAGCATTCTTTGAATATTTTCTCCGGGTCATGCAGGAATGTTGGGAAATGAACAGGTAGACAGATTGGCTGGTTCTGCACCGATGGATGATGCATTTATGCATGGTAAGCTAGATGGAGGCCCTTTGGGAGAAAGTGAATGTGCAGGCGTGAAAAGATCATTATGGTGTGGAGAGAATGGTACATCTAGGAGTGAGCTGGGGATTTTGTCGACATTCTACGCTCAGAGGAAAGGCAAGACGGACAGCAAACTGCTACTGATACCATTGGAATTGGAACAAGGCCCATGTGGGAATGTTCCCAGTGCTTTGATGTCAGTTCTTTACTCAACACTGACAGACAAGATGGTCATGCAAGTTAGTGTTTGTTGTAGTAGGTTTTAACACTGTGTTCATATATATAGATATGCTTGGCAATGTGACATGACATCTTTGTATAGTGTACCTGTTTTCAGTTGGAGCAGCAATTTCTGACAGCATACTCGTTTTGAGACTTCTTTGAGGTATTCAAATGGTGTAATGCAGTGCATGCTATTCAGTATTGTATTTCGTTTGTGGGTTCCAGAGCCCCATTGGGGGAAGGGGCGGGCAAGAATAGAGCCACTTTCCTCTGCATCAAGCATATCGTAAAAGGCGACTAATCTGCCTGGGAGTCTACATAATCCATTAGCTGGATCTATAATAGGGACCAACCGTCTACATAACACGTAAGCTGGATCTATAACATTGATCAACCGTCTACATAACACGTAAGCTGGATCTATAACAGGGACCAACCGTCTACATAACACGTAAGCTGGATCTATAACAGGGATCAACCATCTACATAACACGTAAGCTGGATCTATAACAGGGACCAACCGTCTACATAGCACGTAAGCTGGATCTATAACAGGGATCAACCAGCTGCATAACATGTAAGCTGGATCTATAACAGGGACCAACTGTCTATATAACATGTAAAAGGAGACTAATCTGCCTGGGAGTCTACATAATCCATTAGCTGGATCTATAACAGGGACCAACCGTCTACATAACACGCAAGCTGGATCTATAACAGGGATCAACCATCTACATAACACGTAAGCTGGATCTATAACAGGGACCAACCGTCTACATAGCACGTAAGCTGGATCTATAACAGGGATCAACCAGCTGCATAACATGTAAGCTGGATCTATAACAGGGACCAACTGTCTATATAACATGTAAGCTGGATCTATAACAGGGACCAACCATCTACATAACACGAAAGCTGGATCTATAACAGGGATCAACCAGCTGCATAACATGTAAGCTGGATCTATAACAGGGACCAACCGTCTACATAACACGTAAGCTGGATCTATAACAGGGACCAACCATCTACATAACACGTAAGCTGGATCTATAACAGGGATCAACCAGCTGCATAACATGTAAGCTGGATCTATAACAGGGACCAACCGTCTGCATAACACGTAAGCTGGATCTATAACAGGGATCAACCATCTGCATAACATGTAAGCTGGATCTATAACAGGGACCAACCGTCTACTTAACACGTAAGCTGGATCTATAACAGGGACCAACCGTCTACATAACACGTAAGCTGGATCTATAACAGGGATCAACCATCTGCATAACATGTAAGCTGGATCTATAACAGGGATCAACCATCTGCATAACATGTAAGCTGGATCTATAACAGGGACCAACCGTCTACTTAACACGTAAGCTGGATCTATAACAGGGACCAACCGTCTACATAACACGTAAACTGGATCTATAACAGGGATCAACCATCTGCATAACATGTAAGCTGGATCTATAACAGGGATCAACCATCTGCATAACATGTAAGCTGGATCTATAACAGGGACCAACCGTCTACATAACACGTAAACTGGATCTATAACAGGGATCAACCATCTGCATAACATGTAAGCTGGATCTATAACAGGGATCAACCATCTGCATAACATGTAAGCTGGATCTATAACAGGGACCAACCGTCTACTTAACACGTAAGCTGGATCTATAACAGGGACCAACCGTCTACATAACACGTAAGCTGGATCTATAACAGGGATCAACCATCTGCATAACATGTAAGCTGGATCTATAACAGGGACCAACCGTCTACATAACACGTAAACTGGATCTATAACAGGGATCAACCATCTGCATAACATGTAAGCTGGATCTATAACAGGGATCAACCATCTGCATAACATGTAAGCTGGATCTATAACAGGGACCAACTGTCTACATAACACGTAAACTGGATCTATAACAGGGATCAACCATCTGCATAACATGTAAGCTGGATCTATAACAGGGATCAACCATCTGCATAACATGTAAGCTGGATCTATAACAGGGGACCAACCGTCTACTTAACACGTAAGCTGGATCTATAACAGGGACCAACCGTCTACATAACACGTAAGCTGGATCTATAACAGGGATCAACCATCTGCATAACATGTAAGCTGGATCTATAACAGGGACCAACCGTCTACATAACACGTAAACTGGATCTATAACAGGGATCAACCATCTGCATAACATGTAAGCTGGATCTATAACAGGGATCAACCATCTGCATAACATGTAAGCTGGATCTATAACAGGGACCAACCGTCTACATAACACGTAAACTGGATCTATAACAGGGATCAACCATCTGCATAACATGTAAGCTGGATCTATAACAGGGATCAACCATCTGCATAACATGTAAGCTGGATCTATAACAGGGACCAACCGTCTACATAACACGTAAACTGGATCTATAACAGGGATCAACCATCTGCATAACATGTAAGCTGGATCTATAACAGGGATCAACCATCTGCATAACATGTAAGCTGGATCTATAACAGTAACAGGGACCAACTGTCTACATAACATGTAAGCTGGATCTATAACAGGGATCAACCATCTGCATAACATGTAAGCTGGATCTATAACAGGGACCAACTGTCTACATAACACGTAAGCTGGATCTATAACAGGGATCAACAGTCTATCTATGTAACACGAAAGCTGGATCTGTAAAACAGATGTGTATGCAAACTCAAGTTCTGAAACAAGACCAAAGTCTAAATGTGGATGAACAACCAGAATATTTCACAGTTTACAGCTGGCCAATGTTAAGAAAAGTAGAGACTATCAGCTAAAAACCCAAACACATGGCTGAGTAGGGAAGTGTGGTAGGACAATAGGTCATGTGATCTAAACCCAAACACATGGCTGAGTAGGGAAGTGTGATAGGACAATAGGTCATGTGATCAAAATACTTTTGGTTACACCACCTTTTTCTTGCTTAGTTATCGTCTTGCTTCCTTATTTCCATTTGCTTTGATTATTGTTTATGATTGTCTCATTTCAGACATTGAAGAACAACTTACTGTTGAATAAAGAAAGAGAACTGTTCACATTTTTTCATACTGACCCTGGACGCTTACAGAATACCATTAATGGTCTAGCAGATAGACTGACAGCCCAGAATGTGAAATGAACATGTTTACTGATCAACATAATAAAGGCAACATAAAAAGACATAGCAACATGAAATGTGTTCTTTGTGAGGAATAGTTGCATTTGAAATAAGAACAGGGGGGATAACAGAAATGCCTTTTTTCACCTCTGTATAAAAAGTTATAAGAAAAAAAAAGTAAAGGACCCTTTTCCCACGCTTTTAGGCGTATAGGGCATTTAGGGCTAGACCTATATTTTTATAGACCAATCCGCACAAGATGGGTGATGAGGTCAGCATCACGTCGGCACCCACTTAAGGCTGGGTCGACCTGGGAGCCAAGATCATTGTTGAAATCATCTCCGTGTACTATGTGATATTTGTGAATGCAAAGGACAGCAAACTTGGGGTGAGCTGATTGAGAAGCTATGCTCAATTGCTAAGATGTCAAACATTTTAGCATCTTCTTTCAAAGTTCTCACTAGCATATACACAGGTTCCTGACAGCACTCTTTGAACACTTTTTTTTCTCTCACTGTACTTTACATCTTTTTTTTTAAAAATTATTGATGAGTGTCTTTTGAAACCTGCTAAGGCTGCTTCTGACACCTTTATCAAGTGTTATAACTTTTCCAGAGTACAGTGGTACCTCAGTTTACATACATAAACTGTTCCAGATCCTTGGACGCTTACCAAATTTTCTGCTTGATGAATGAGTGTATAACTTAGTCCTGTCCATTTCTTGATGTCATTCTAGGTTTTTCTTTGCCCTCCTCTACTTCAACTTTTCTCCAATGTTCCTTGAAGCACAGTATTTGCAATCAAATCATGTCTCACCATGTGCCCAAAACAAAATAGCTTGCGACGTTTCACCACTGCCAAGAGAGGCTCCTGATGTCCTGCGAATTTGTATATTTGTCTCTGACATATTTATTAGTTTTGTGTTCTTAAAAAAAATAATTTGTAAAATGCATCTGTAGCATTTATATTTGAAAGCCTGAACCCTCCTTTCCATTTCCACAGTGAGAGTCCAACTCTCACATCCGTATAAGAAAATAGACAACACCAGTGATTTGTAAATATTGACCTCGACTGCGATGCTGATTTTGTTCTCTTGATCTCTTTGGTACAGCTGCCATCATTGCATATGTGGGAGTCAAGATATTTAAAGGTTTTAACTTGTAATTTTTTCCCTTTTATCTGAATGTTGGTAGGTACTTAATTATTGTGACCATTTACTAAAATCTTGCTTTTCTCAGCATTAATTTCCATGCCCTATTTACGACAGACTGTCTCTAATTTTGTAGTAAGTTCTGTTTCATAACCAGCCATGAGATCTATGTTGTCTGCAAAACGTAAATGACCCAGTTGTCTTCCTCCGGGTGAATATAGATGTTTCATGATTTTCTAGTGTTTCTCTCATTACGTGTTCCAAACACAAATTGAAAAGGACAGGGATATTATGCAACCCTGTCTCACTCCCACATTGGTCTTGAAAAATTGTCCTATGTCATTTTGAATGAGTACTGCACTGCTTGCAACTTTATAAAGTGCTTCAATGGTGTCTATGATGTTCTCATGGAAGTTGAAGTTTCTCATTATTTGCCAGAGCCCAGCATGCCACAGACGGTCAAATGCCTTCGTGCTTCTATTTTTCCGCCTGCTCTTCGGCTAGTATTTCTTCAGATTTGGCTTCAGTCTGTTGAGCACTATCTTTAGCCATTTTTTTTGCTTGGATGGGTAGTTCTATATTGTTGCAGCTTTTCAGATTTCCTTTCTTTGGCAGTGGTATCACCAAGGATTGTGTCCATTCAGCAGGCCACTTCTCTGTCATCACCTTAGATAGGTGTTCCCCTCCATATTTCAAAAGTTCAGCTGGGGCATTGTCCAACCTGGCGATTTACCTTCTTTTAGTGAGCGTATCGCCTCCTCAACTTCTTCTCTTAATATTTCAGCATCGCTAACTTCTCTGTTTTCCCAAACAATGGTGTCAGGCTCTGCTTTTTGATTATATGTAAGTCTTTAAAATATTCCGTCCATCTCTCTAATATTGCTGTTTTCTTATTAAGGACTTGACTGTTTTTATCCTCTATTAATGGGCATCTTGAGTTTTTAAAAATGTAACCTCACTTTCCCTTCATGAGAAGAGTCAAGTGAGGGAGGAGGAGATGTCATTGTTTGGAAGGAAAGTCCCCTTGCAATAAAACTTCACAAATCTGAAAAGTGTGTGTGTTTCCTTTTGCTGAGGTTGAGGCTCATCAAGTTTGACTGTTACTAAAAATTTACCCCAAGAATTTTTGCCTTTTTAGGATTTTTAGGAAATGTGACATTATAGGCACATTCCACACAGAGCTTGTATGGTTTGTTGGGGCTTTCTGAGCTGCTGCTTCTCTGCAGTCATTGACATCTATCCATGGCTTTGTCTCGAGAGAGAGGTAAAGATAGTACAGTGTCATGATTGTTTCTGACTCGTACAAGTTCGTATACCAAGCAAAAGTTATGGCATCTAAACAAGACGAATATTAAACTGAATGTATACAGAGGTACTACTGTAGTTGAACTGATTCAGTTGTTTAAGAATGTTTACATCTGCATGGGTTTCACATCAAGATATTTCTTGATGATGACCACAATTCCTGTTTTCCTTAAGTTTAAGCCTAGTTCCTTAATGTATCAGTATCCACAACTTCTGATGTAAAACTTTTCAGTTTTTAAGTTTTTCTTAAATTGTGTCTGTTAGGTTAGGTGTTTATCTGATAAACACTATCACGAAGTTTCAGTAAAATGTCTTATCTGTTTGTTACAAGCTTTTGTTCTGTACTTATCCAACATTTAGCCGTCAGTGAAATCCTTCCGACATCTGATAAGTCAGTCACCCCACTTCTGTACTCTTATTATTTTTTAATACAAGTTTGTGGCATTTATCTGTTTGGGGGAATATTTGTATTATTGGAGAGAAAAAAAAAGTTGTCAAAGTAACAGAAACTGGAATTATTTGGAATGTGATGTAGTGATCTTATTTAGTTTAAATACATGACACCTTTGATTATGGTTTTCTTCTGTTTGCAGGAGTGTGTTTGTGTGGCTGTCAGGGTTCATAGCCAAATTTACCAATCAATTTCAAGGCTTTTTAGGGTCTCCTTAGTTTTTTTCAAGGTTGTCTCGGTGTAATACTGAAACAAAGATTTTTGCATTGTTCAAGGGTGTACCGAGCACACAATGTACTTCATTCGTGTTGGTATACCAGCACATATATCATCATGTAGCATTTCCTTTGTCCTGAAATAAAAATCAGTCTCTCACCAGCTCTCCCGTCTCATGTACTTTTTTATACTCAAGGAGTCACTTATATCCTGTGCCCATCTTCGCGTTGGTCGGCCCCTGCGTTTGATATAGTGTTTGAAAATTTTTTTAGGACTTGGTGGTAGAGGGCAGCAAACTGAAGTCCTGTCTGTTCTGGACTTGGTACCTGAAGGGGTTAGGGGGGGGGAGAGAGAGAGTCATGCAGAGAGGGAGGTAGACACATGCTGAGGAAGGTTGGGAGAGACAGTGTAAAGATGGGCAGATGAAGGTAGAGGAAAGAAGTCTGGGGAAGGAGGAAAAAACGAGAGGGAGGGATGGAGACATGATGAGGGAAAATGGGGAAGGGACAATGAAAGACAGAGAGGGAGACAAATACAGAAAGAGGGAATGCAGATACAGAGATGGGCAGATAAAGAGAGCAGGAAGAAGGGAACGAAACGGAGATATGGAAGGAGGAAAATATGACAAAGATAGTTGAAGGAAGGGAGACAGAGGGAGAGAGAACGGACAGGGAGAGAAGCAAATGCAAGCAGAGAGAATTGTAGACATAAAGGAGAGAGACAAAGGGACAGCATAGAGAGGCAAGCAGACAGAGGGAGAGAACCAAAGAAAGAGAAAAAAGGCAGAGCAGGAGAATGGGAGGGAGGTATACAAAGAGGAAGTGATGAAGGGAGGCAAACAACAGACATAAAGCAAGAGAGGGGGGGGGGTGGGTGGGTAAGGAAGGCAGTGACAAACACAGATTCAGAGAGAGGGGCAGGAAGGGAGACAAGATACATCAAAGAAAAAAAAAACCAGCCTCGTGCTGAAACCCCATCCACCCCCCCCCCCCCCCCCCACAATTTCAAGTGTAGTGGACACAACCACTAGGAAAAGATAGTTATGGGGCAAAAAACATGTAGATGAACCAGGTGGAAAAAAGGGGGGTGGGGTGAGGAAGAGAATGAGAGAGGGGAGAGGGTAAGGAAATCTAGAGAAAATGAAAAGACAGGATGGAGAGGAGACAGAGAAGAGATGAGACAGGAGAAAGAGCAAGCGAGAACAGAGCAAGGAAAGGAAGAGAGGAAGAATGGAGAGAAAGGAGAATAGTGGAAGATCAAAGGAAAGAGAAGGGGTGAGAGAAGAGAGGTAAGACACGGTTGTGGGGGGGGGGTGGTGGTGGCATAAGAACACCGAGCGCCAAAAATAGAATTAGGAAATCTCTAAGTGAGACCACTTCTACGGTTCCTACCCTCTCCCAATGTGAATGTGGCCGTGGTCCATAAACAACAGTGCTAACCCCTACTGCCCCGTGCTTCTCCTATCTGTGTGTGACAACAATAGTTCAATTTCTTACACTTAAGGCTGGTGACCTGAAAGCCAAGGTCATTTTATGAAGAAAAAAGTCCAGGGGATCCCAACCCACCACCGGTGGAAAACAGAGCAGGTTACCCACACACACACAAATAGGTCAGGGCATCAGTGGACTTGTTTTATTTCTGGTTTTCCAATTACAGAAAGGAGGGGAGAGAGGAGGTGGTGGAAGGTGGTGTAGAAGGCTGAGATGGTAAGGGTGAGAGAATAACGTTTAAGAAAATAAAGTGGGGACTGAGACAGGAGAGAAAGACGGGAGTAAGAAATAAGATGAGATATAGAGGGAAGAAGGTAGCAGGAAGGGGTGCACCCCCTCCCTTAGGTGTCATCAATGTGGGAGGAGAAAAAAAAAGGGGGGGGGGGGGGAAACGGCAAATGTGTTTTTA